TACAACAGGTCACTTTCAGGCCTGGGCTTCCCTTGCAAAAGAGAGCTGCAATCTCAGTGGGGTTTGCTTGTTTAAATAATAGTAAATAAACGCGTCATAATCAGATATTTCTTTGAAAGTTACTCTTAATTGATGATGCAGTTTACTTGGCATCTGAAAATACATTTCCTCAAAAGTATTTTTAATCTGAAAAGAGCTTCACTGAGTGAGAAATAGTTAGGAGCTCAGCAGACAGTTTAAGTTTCACTTTCAGTTTCACCCGAGAGCCTGCAGGAGTCATGGGCGGGGTATGGGGTGGGGGGGGCTCCGCCAAGAGGAAGTTCGGCTTAAAGACACGTCCCAAAAAGCGTTTCTGGTCCCAAAACGTGTTTCTGGTCCCCACCTGTTGTTTTGCTCCTCAGCATGGCTTCCTAAAATTGCTGCAGGATTTCTCAAACATGCATGAATGAGTCAGAGCAAGGCTTTGGTCATGTTTTTTTTTACAAGAGTATAACATTATAACATGATATAAAACTCAAAAAAGTTGATTTTACATGAAATTGCCCCTTTAATGGGTTAGTGGGATCAGTTTAGCAACGACTATAAAGCTGATCCTCACGGCTTTTATGGAGATGCTTTCAAAAGGCCAATAAAGACAAGAGTTTGTATTTTCATCCCTTTCAGGCCATCATATAAATGGAAACGGCAGGTGACCCAGCGTGTACCGTCCATGTCCAAAAAGAGGAAAATGTCTTTGCTGTTTGACCACCTTGATTCCTGTGAGCTGGCTGAACATCTGACCTTCTTGGAGTACAAATCGTTCTGCAAGATCCTGGTCAGTTTGAGCACAGCCTGCAATGAAGCAGCGTATCCAATCTGGTGTTGTTTATATCTCTTGAATACTTTGAATTCTTCTGTGGTTGCATGCCACAAGTCCACGGTTGTTGCTAAGCAATAGGGATTCATATCCATTTTAACTGGGCAGCATTTACTTTTTTCCCATTTAGGTTCTATTTTGGATGCCAAAAACAAGATTGTCAGAAAGTTTTTTTATTTTATTTTAGCTAAACTAGTCGAATTACGTCACAGTGAGATCATTGTCATTTTAACAAACGTGCTTTTTAAAATCCAAATTCTGACTGATAATTAAAGAAAAGAAAAATATATCAAAGTGAGCAACTTGATTGGAAATAGTGGCTGTGGCTRTTGGTAGCAGTACACCGTATGGCATAAACAATAATGCTAAACAATACAAAGCATATCACATTCACAGCAATTGTATTTTTGGTTAATCTTGAGAGAAAACCCAGCTCTCTTTGGATCTTTACTGCCCAAAACTAATTTCACAGTGAAACATTATTCAAAGTTTGAATAAGACTTTACATGACCTAACTAGAGTTTTGATATTTTTATGGATTTYACACAACTGTAGTTAAAATTTATGAAGTTTCTACCATGAAATATTCAACTTCGAGTGCAGTGATGTCACACACTCGAAATTCTGAGTTCTTTAAACTTTTCAAATTGTTCACAAATTCTTGTTTCACAACTTCTTATACAGTTTATCCACCATAACATAAGCATTTTCAGCTTCTTTCACCCATCGTGTCTATCTTTCCCAGAGTGCAGAATACACACATTATCTCTCACTGACTTCCATTGTGTTTGAGCTCAGAAGTTTCTCTTCAAAACCAGGAGGCCCTTTTAACTTGTCATATCTCCCACATAAAAACTACAAATATAAAAACGTACATGTGTGATAAGCAGATGCTTCTGTGATTTACAGTTCAGGATATCATTTGTGTTGTTTGTACTTTGACTGTTTCTTTGAGGTTTAATTTTTAGTCTTTATTATTTCTGCCTGTCTTATTAAAAGTGCTGTCAGGGAGGGACAGACACAAGTGTGTGACTTACTGCTCGACTTAAATCAACCTTATTTCTATAATAATTTTCAAGCACAAATAAAACTCAAAATTCTAAACTAAAGGCCCTGTCACAAAATAAAATAAAAAAATCCACTAAATTACTAAAAAAAATTGAATTTTTGATCAATTTGTTAGCGTTGCAGTATGTACATGCCTAAAACAGGCTTCCAGTTGATTTTTTATTTCATTTTAAACGTTAGAGTTCTCCAATCTTTTTATAAGTTGGCATAAGTTGTCTAAAATATCATAGTGTGACGGAGTCTTAAGCAAAACCAAGACGTGACGAGCAAAATTTGTGAAAAAAGGTTTTAAAAAGTTGTATAAAACTTTAAAAATGAACCAATAAAATAAAAGTTAAAATGCCTGTGACATGCATATTCTTCAAATATAAAAAGTCAAAGAAAACATCTTTGTATTTATGAAACTTTACATAATACRCATTATTTTACCCATTTTGTCACATAACTGGCATATTTTCTTCTAAACTTGGCTCAAACAAAATGAAACAGGAAGTGACATCAAAGGGGAACTCTTTAAGAAAGAAACTCTCTGGTCTTTGTTTATTGAAACATTATTTGACCTCTGACTCCTTTGTGTCTCTGATAGTGACTCAAAATGATCTAAAGAAACATCAGATTCTTACAGCTTGTGTTAGCAGTTGTAGCAATGCTCTGTTCACACTCAGACGTTCTCCTTTGACATCACTTCCTGTTTCTTCACATGCAAATATCTCAACAGTTCTTCTCAACAGCATAACATTTGTTGTGATATGTTATCAATGTTAGCTTTCCAAAAATCAGTTCATGTTCATTACAAAAATTTGATGTCACAGGCACTTTAAATAACAATTAAAATTGTAGTTAATAATAAGAACTATAAAAGATTAAAGCTATTTAAAAAGTGTTTTAAGCAGGCATAACAGAGAGGTATTAAAAACAAAAAATTCTGATTATGTGTAAAGTCTCTTTAAGATGCAAGTTTTAAGTTTTGCTTTAAAAATAGGAAGCTGATTTCAGAGCGGGGGGGGGGGGTGCGATGAAACAAAAAGCTCCACCTTTCTGTCTCGTTTTACAAATTCTTGGAAAAACTAGTAAATCAGGATGCTGAGAATGGAAAGTTCAGGTGGGGAGGATAAGGGAMAGGGAGGCTGATGGTGTCAGGCTGTTGGAGAATTTGTTTGGATCCTAAAATTAATTCTTAATTTCACAGGCAGCCGGTTTAATGGTGACCCTAATGAGCCGCTGGCAGCAGCTATAACATTTCTTTTGATCTTGGTTCTCTTTACAMCTCTACAGTTTCATCAAAACACCAGCATTTTGTCAGCATAGGTTATTACAAAAGGAAGTCTCAAATTACCGTTAGGCTGTAGAGACAAAAGGTGAAGCATGCTGGGATTTTAAGGCGTAGCTGTACTGGCAGGTTTGTTCAGAAATTTTCTAATTTTTCATATAAACCTGTACAAATCCCACTTTATTAAAACACATTGTTGATTTATCACACAAAACATAGCATAGGTATTCCATTGCATCCCTTTTTTACATTAATATTTTAAATATATTATATCAGTTTTTTTTTTAGTTTCATGCTTCTTTTATTTATTTATTTATTTATTTTCAGTTTCAGGACTACCATAGCTTCGTCATGCACGGCTGCACGGTGGATAACCCCATCCTGGAGCGCTTCATCACCCTCTTTAACAGCGTCTCCCAGTGGATCCAGCTCATGGTGCTCAGCAAGCCGACCGCGCCGCAGAGAGCCGCCGTCATCTCTCATTTCATCAGAGTGGCACAGGTCTGTCTGCTGGAGCGGTTAGGATCTGTGTSAAGTTTGGGCCTACAATGGGTGGCATGTCCAAGCTGAGAAAAAGAGAACAAATTGTTTCTGATGTGGTTATACCAGTTACAAAATATACTATTTAAAAAAGATTTGGAAGATTTAGAGTTGTRGGAATTAATTAAAGGGATAGTTCAGATTTTTTGAAGGGGGTTTCTGTCCTAAGATGAGTCAATTCAAACCTCAAACTAGTTTTTGTGCTTCAARGGAATGCTTTGTTGTGGATTTTTTTTACACCACATCACTATTTTACCACATTGCTACTTTGACTGGGTACATTTATTGTTGCAAGTTGCACAACAAYGTTGTTCAAGGAATGCGTTGCAACAAACTGCATTCCATTCTGAGATCATAACKTTTCAACATGGGCAGTTTTCAGCGTGACCAACCATCTGATTCAAAAGTGGTAMAAGTTAATAATTCACCTGAACCACAATGACATTTTCAGGTTTGAGATCTTTTAGTCTTTGAATCATGCTACTGGATTGGACGTCATGTGACCTGCACATTCCACGCAAGCAGCCTTTTTATACACTGTGCAGTAAATAGTACATTTACACAAGGCAGTTTCTAATTTCRGCTTATAAATTTCAGAAATCAGGAAAAGAAATGTACAAGGGCAAAGACTACATTTCACAAGTAAATACACATTTATCCAAAACTTGTGATTTGAAGTGTAAAACTTGTTTTAAACATTTCACCATTTGAAAAATACCCAAGACATAAAAATCATTCCACACAACACAGATAGAGAGATGGAGAGAGATGGAGAGATTTTCTTGCAGACTCTTAAGTCCAAATCACATAAAAAAGAATCAATCAATCAATCAATCACAACAATAGG